TAAGGTGATATAGATAGAATGTGGTGGCTGGAATGATCTCAACGGCGTATTTCGTATTAGGTCTATTGTGTTGTGCATAGTTTAGAATGTCTGCTGTGTTTAAGTGTTCTAAAAAATCTTTAAAATCTACTCTATTATTAATTAATTTAGGAAGCTCTAAGACGCATGCATTGTTGTTACTTGAGTGAAAAAACTTATATTCCCCTGTTTCTTTATGTTTTAAAATGGAATGGTGGCTATAGTTGATTTTGAACCGCTTAGTTTGTGTGTTAAATATGGTGTCTACGAGTTTTGAATCCCAGTCTATCGGAGTAGTGTCTAGTGGGCTGTGAAAAAAATTAAATGTGGATATATGTTTGCCTGTAGTTGCGTGTGTCTGTATGGCGTGCCAATTATCAATGTATATGTTTTGTAATTCGCTGTTTAAGTTGTAAATGGTGTCAATTTCGTCGAACGGTAAGTCTAAGTCGTTCATTTCCTCTAAATCTAGGTCTACCACATCTCCCCTTAGGGCATCTACAAGTATAGCGTTGGTGTCAACATTAACGTTACTGTCGTTGTGAGGTGTTTTTAGGCGTTTGTTTGTTGTTTCGTCATAGGTCCTTTGTCTCTTTAATTGTATAGGTAGGTTGTCTGTTTGTCTGTCATTTGATGATGCAGGTTGTTCAGTTTGTCTGTCAAATGTTAATGTCGGTTGTTCACTTTGTCTGTCAGATGCTGATGGGGTATCGATTGGTGTAAGTAGAGTGGTGTGTGCTGTGGTGGTGTGTCGTTTCAAATTGTCAGGTCGTGTGAATATTTTGCCACATTCTGTGCACTGATGTTTTCCTCTGGCGTGCGCAGTAGCTTGATGGCGTTTCAAATTGTCACTCCTGTTGAACACACGTGGACAGGTGGCGCATTCATATCTGTTCATGGTTGAGTGAGTGCCTGGATGGGTGGTTTGCATCTCAGTCTGTCTGTACAAGTAAGAAAGAAAAAATAAAAAATAATCGTAAATAAAATTAAAGTAAATATATTTGACAACTTATTTAAAAAATAAATAAACTTTAATTAAAGGGTATAATCGTATTTTTATATTAACGGGTTAATTCCATTAAAATATATAAATAAAATAAAATAAATAAAATAAACAGTATTGAACTTACTTTTTAATGTTAATGTCTAAGCCGGCTTGAGAGCTGTCAGTCGGAGGGTTGGTGTATGTGGTTGGTTCGGCTGGATATGGGTGGGTTGGATTTTTGGCTAGTTCAATTGCTTGTTCAGTGGTTAGGGTTGACTGTATAATAAAAAAATAAAAAATAAAACGAATACCAATGACTACTTATTTTTAAAATTAAAGATATAATTAAAGGGTAAAAAATAAAGTTCCCTTTTCAAAGCTGCTGGTATATAGGACAAGTGCAGTAGAGTTCACTTGTTTCTGTAGCTTCAGTATATGAAGAGTTAGTGTGGTCAGCACTATTTACTTTCCCTAACGTAAATAACGACAACAAAAGTACTCAGGGGTGGTTTACTGTCTTGAGTCCGGATTCTAACTCGTAACTTACAGATTAACAGTAAAGCGAATACATTTGACTACAAGAAAGTAAATAAATAAAAAATTTTATTAAAGGGAATAAACGTAGCTTCATTAGTAATATAATAGCTGGGTTGGGTGTATATTACAAATTAAAGCGAGTACATTTGCCTCCAAGAAAATAAATAAGATTTAATTAAAGGGTATAAACCTATCTTCATTAGTAATATAATGGCTGGGTTGGGTGTATATTACAAATTAAAGCTAGTACATTTAACTCCAAGAAAATAAATAAGATTTAATTAAAGGGTATAAACCTATCTTCATTAGTAATATAATGGGTGGGTTGGGTGTATATTACAAATTAAAGCGAATACATTGGACTACAAGAAAGTAAATAAATAAAAAAATTTTTATTAAAGGGAATAAACGTATCTTCATTAGTAATATAATGGCTGGGTTGGGTGTATATTACAAATTAAAGCGAATGCATTTGACTACAAGAAAATAAATAAATAAAATTTTATTAAAGGGAATAAACGTATCTTTATATTCGCTGAGTTAACTCCCTTAAAAGAATATATATACATATATATATATATAATAAAAAATAAAAATATTAACCTTACCTTAGTGCTGGATGATGTGAATGTCTAAGATGAAGTGAACTCGGAATCACAAAGTATGCGGTCCGTAGCAGTATAGTTAGTTCAGTGGACGCGGTATCACAAGGTATGTAGTCCGTAGCAGGATGGTTGGTTGGCTGGACGTGAAGATGAGTTGAAGTCTTGAGAAGTAGTGTTTGAAGTAAAATTTCGTCTGAATTTATACTTTATGAACGCGTGGGTCAATTATGCAGGCGTGGGTAACGCAGATGTGGAGGTCGTTGAACTCTACTGCAATCCTTGGTTTAAAAAACAAAAACATAAAGCCTCACTATGAACGCGTGGTCTAATTATGCAGGCGTGGGTAACGCAGATGTGGAGGTCATTGAACTCTCCCTCCGATCCTTGGTTTAAAAACAAAACATACCTCATCACCTGCTTGATACATAAAATCAAAAAAAATCTAATTTATTTATATCGCCTGTTTCACGCTTGCGCAGTGAAACGAGTCGTCCCTTTGGACCAAGACGCGGTCGGGTTTTCAAAGCCTATTATCCGCCCCTCAGCTACCCATACAATGGGTATTGTCCTCACAGAATACAATGGGCGGTCGACGCGTGCCGTGTTTCGGTTGTGCGTGGAATTTGTAAACATTACTACATGCTAAATTTATTCAAAATTCTATACGCAGACACCGCGGGTGTAAACACGGGGAAGGGTGGAGCGGTCCATTGTGTACTGCATACCAGGATTGACGTGCGCGTGTTTTAACACTTACGATTGGTCCCGAGTTTAGCGCCGTAATTTTTATCGACTATTCTATAAGCAGACAACGCGGATGTTTATACAAAGGTTATTGACCTCACAAAGTACAAAAGAAGGTGGTCGCGTGCTGCATCACCCGCGATTTCAGGAGGTCGTTGAACTACACTACCATCCGTTCGCGGTTTATTTTGTTTTGGTGGAGCTAGCCTAAAACTTATTCTCCACCCTTTTTCACCGTCACCGGCTCGACAATATATTAACGATCGACTTATATCACGTTTAACACTTGCACTTATTGGGACTACTTATAAACGTTTATTTCGGCGCTTTCAAGATGTCTAGTGAAGATTGGTTACTTGTCGCCCGGAATAGTAATAAAGTGACGGAAATACGAACGACGAATGACAGTGGTTATAAAGTAGCTATCGTTAGTCAATTCATGAACAAAAACACTTTAAATCTTAGAGATCTTATGGATGGTACAGATCTTAAATTTCCTAATAATTCTGGAATAAATCTCTCTCGTATAGCCTTTGAGCGTTTACTCGCCCTGAGATATGATATTTTAAAAGCGTTTGATGACTTGGAGAAAGTTGAAATAAATTCATAAAATATAAGAAGTCTTTTGTTGTGCTATAAGTTGTGTGTAAGTTGTGTGTGTGTGTTTGTGTGTAAATAAACGGCCAGCCATAAACACAACAACCAAGTAGAAACCAGGAAGGGGGGCAATAACCGCCTCGGGTGTTGGCACGTGATGTATCTCTTTATATTAAGACGAGTAGAATTCGACATCCACCAGGCCTATTCAACAAAGATTTTATACGGTCAACATGTTTAAACATGACTTTTAAAAAAATCGATAGTAAAGGCGCGTGAGTTGGATTAGACAATGGGGTACAGCACCTGCCTTTGTGTATGACGCGAGTAGCGGCGCACAAAAGGACATGGTCACACAGACTTCAGACAAAGGGAGAATGAGATTGCAACACACAAAGGGAAGGGGTACCACCTGCTACCACCTCCCCCACCCGACCCCGGGTTTCACCCGCGTCACCCCCACCCACACCCTCACTGGAGGGTGGTGAAATACTATTTTACGATATACTGTTAAAGCCGGACTGTCGTCCAGGTCAATAAAAACAACCAACAAATGGGCAACTGGTCAACAACCGATAAACTGATCATCTGGTCAACTACTGGTCAGTTGGTCAACAAAATGTATAACATTATTATTTAACCATTAATAAAACAATAGCTCAAGTGGTCAGTTGGTCAACTGGTCAATATATCGATCAATTGATCAAAACAATAACCTCCTCCTCCTCTATGATAATCGTTTTGGTCAACAAGTGGTCAAGTGGTCAACATACCGATCAAAACAATAACCTACTAGTCAAAATAATCAACAGTTGTTTAATGAACAATCAACAACGGGCTAAAAAATCAATAGTTGGTCAAAAAACAGGAACACAAATCAACAGGTGGTCGAGAATCAATCAATAACGGTCAAAATATGCAACAGGTGGTCGAGAATCAATCAATAACGGTCAAAATATGCAACAGGTGGGCAAAAAATCAATCAATAACGGTCAAAATAATCAATCACTCCTCCTCCTCCTCCTCCTCCCCCTCGCCTCCTCCTCCTCAATAATACCCAAAGGGGACCTACTATACTACTTATATATATATATATATATATATATATATATATAAATAATATATATAATATATGTTTCATTGATAGTTCATATAAACATTTTTTTCAGAACATAGTAAATTCAAACTTACTTATAAAAATAATAATATATAATAAAAAAATAAATATATAAATATATATATATATATATATATATATATATGTATATATATATATATATATATATATATGTATATATGTATATATGTATATATGTATATATATATATATATATATATATATATATATATATATATATATATATATATATATATATATATATATGTATATATATATATATATATATATATATATATATATATATATATATATATATATATATATATATATATATATATTATTTTTACTTAGCTGATTTTTTCTTGGTATTTTAGAAAACAAACACAATATTCACCAAGTAATCTTTTCTCAACATCTTCAGTATCCCTACTCAAGATACCGCCTATATAGATAGATAAATGTATATATATATATATATATATATATATATATATATGTATATATATATATATATATATATATATATATATATATATATATATATATATTACATTTATAGTTCATATAAACATTTTTTTCAGAACATAGTAAATTCAAACTTAGTTATTATAAAAATAATAATATAAAAATAATATATATATATATATATATATATATATATATATAAATGTGTATATATATATATATATATATATATATATATATTTACATTTATATATTCATAAATACATTTATCCTAATATATAAAAGGCCATGTGCGCTCTTCTCTCTCTCTCTCTGTCTGTCCGCAAAATATTTTCGCCGGACATCACGTCAGAATCGGCAGCGATATATGGATACATTTATACGGACTTTTGTTGAAAATAATATGTTAGATGTTTTAAATGTATAACCACAATTTTATTTAAAGAAGAAAAATAAAAAATAAAGGCGTAGTCGAATGTAGAGAAACAGTATTATTTAAGCAATCGGAAAAGTATTTAAACTTGGGACAAGAACGCATATAACAATGACGTCGCTTATTGTTTACACTAAAAAAAGAGCACGAAACTGATTACGTCATCTTCCGAGTTTAGAATAAAAAGAAATTTATTTCATTCAAATATGATTTAGAGCTATGTACGCTATGAAATGTATACAATACGATTTTCTCGGCCAATACTTAAAAAAATTATTTTATCTATTTGGATTCTAGATCTAGAGATTCTAGATCTAGATATTGATCTAGATCTAGATATTCTAGATCATCTAGATCTAGAGATTCTAGATCTAGATCTAGATGATCTATAAAGCTAAGTTGTCGGGTGCCCGATAGGGCACTTCCCGGCGCCGCAGGCGCTTCAAATTTGGCAGGATCTTGCCTTGGGGCGACAGAACACGGGACCGGTTGGCCGAAAAGTCTACGATGAGGGGGTCAAAACTGACCTCGACTGACCGGCGCCTTATATTAATTAAGCATTTAAATTCTCAATGTTTTTGAAAACCTAAGCGAAGCTGGGCAGCATGCCTAGTATATATATAAGTATATATATATATATATATATATATATATATATATATATATATATATATATATATATATATATATATATATATATATATAAATGTCTATATATATATATGTATATATATATATATATATATATATATATATATATATATATATATATATATATATATATATATTTATATATTCATAAATACATTTATATATATATATATATATATATATATATATATATATATATATATATATATATATATATATACTAGCCGTCCCGGCCAGGTCCTGCTCTGGCTTCTGTGAAAAACCTTTCTGTTAAAGACCATTACCTGTGTGTTTAGTAATCATCATAAACCCGGCATTGCCCACCCAAACCACAACCAACCAAAACAACAAAACGCAAACATAACGCTAACACAATTACAAATACAAACGAAAACAAAAACCTAACAACAAACCCAACCACAAACACCAATACCAACAAAACAAAAACAACGAAAAAGCAAACGAAAACAAACCAAATCCAAACGCAAAACCAACCAAAAACACAAATACAAACCCAAACAAAAAAACACAAACAAAAACGAAAAAAGAAAGAACAAAAACGAACCAAATCAAAACGCAACCACTAACGCAAACCCACCTAAACACAAAGAAAACACTAACGCGAACATAAACGCCCGGGGCGGAATCACCTGTTTTAGCTTAATGAACGCCTATAGTACCCCAACTTATTCATAGTCTTTTGCACTCACTTAAACGAACGCGCCTGTTTCAATTTAATGAACAATTTTAATACTCCAAGCTTATCCGTAAAATACCTACAACATTTGCACTTGATCAATCCCCGCTAATTATGTAATTATTTTTTTTCCCAACACCAAAACAAAGTAATTAAAAAGTAAATTCTTTTCCACAAATGCAATGGTTTTATAAAGGGAAGTAATTGTGTTTTCCTAATTCATCAAAGGGAAGTAAGTGCTATAGGACTAAATAAAGACATAATTAGAATTTTTGTAAAAGATGATATTTTTACTTTCTCGTATATACGAAGTATAGAGAAAGTCTTGTAATCGTGCAAAAAAAAAAATCGAGATTTTTACAAATCTCGACGTTTCACACCTCACTGATACGGAAAAACATAATTTTGCAATCTTGTCCGTATGTCTGTGTGTCTGTGTGTGTGTGTGTGTGTGTGTGTGTGTGTCTGTCTGTCTGTCCGTGTGTAAACACGATAACTTGAGTACCGTTACAGCTAGGTTGATGAAATTTCATATATAAGTATTTTATCAAAATCGTAGATCCGTATCAACTTTTGAGCGATTTGCCATAACCGGAAGTGGTACTTTTTTTACTTTGAATTTTTCAAAAGCCTATAACTTGAGTACTA